GCAGTGACAGCTCAGACAGGGGCATCAGTCCAATATGGCAGCTCAAGCCAACCTCGCTAACGTGATGGGAGGAGCATGACATGATGCATACATAAAGGAGTTGACATGTTGTGCAGTGGACGATGACATGAAACCACCAGGGGTTATCTAATCAATCTATACAGCTTTTCAGACTGCCCATGCATATGTCCTTCACTCTTTCTCTCCCACTCTCTCCTCAGGAGACCACAACCCCTCCACTGACTGACACCATGTCCCCAGAGGAGGTACTTTACCTTATTGATTCAGCATTCACACAGCCAACAACGAGACAATCAAACCATCCAAATCGATAATTAGAAACTCTGTATACTCTCCATCTCTCTGCCTTATGATTGGCTGATGCAGATCAAAGCCTGGGAAGAGGAAGAGCTTGACAAACCGGTGGATATGGAGCAGATACGTATAGACCCCTCCCCGTTTCAGCTGGTGGAAAGAACGTCTCTGCACAAGGTAACCACAGCAATACCTGGGCGACATGTCATCAACATCATGTATAAGTCCATTTCAAAATACCATTTCTTATTTCCAAGCAGCAGATTTTACATTAATAGTTCATTTACAGTTCATAGTCCTGTTCATAGTCCTTGTGGTGTCGTGATAACTTTTGAGATTTGTAAATAATTGCAAGCTATCCGTGTAGTTTTTTGCCGCCTAATAAGCCTTTAACTGCATACATCTGTTACTCCAATTGGATTTCCTGGATTGTGTTGCATTGTCTCTCTGTCTTTAAAAACTCGTTCCTACTAATGCAGCCCTCTGTGCTGTTTCAAAGCGGACTGTTTTATGGTCTGAATCGACGCGTAGAGGTGCTTATGGAGGTGGATTTTGTTACCTTCAGGCAAGCTGTTTGCCCCCATTTCCTGTCTTTATGCTAAGATAAGCTAACTGTCTCCTGGCCGGCGTTTTACATCTAGCATACAGACAGAGTGGTATCAATCTTTTCATCTAACATCTAACAAAGTGAATAAATGTATTTCCCAGAATTGTCAGTTCCTTTTAATCACAAGACAAAGTGCTTTTTTACACTCATACTTATTTGTATGATTGAACTTGTCTTTGTTCTGTTTGTACTCTTTTCTTCGAGCCTGAGGGGCCTGTAAAAACTGTTGAATAATGTCTTCTGTGGCACTAGAGGGAGCTTTCCAAAGTCTACGAAAATAACTTATCTTAGCTTAATCTTAGAGACGGTACGCATTTTAACAGAAAGCTAAAGTAAAGATAAAGAACATCAGCAGGGAGAGTCTAATGGAAGATTTGCATCATGGGAAATGTAGGATATAGTGATTTTGGAACTTGACCCATACAAGACACTACAAGTCAGGATTTGACCATTTAAAAAAAAATTCTGTCTCCTGTGAGTCCCCCAACGTAAGGAATTGCAATACTTGATCACAGGAGTATTCATTTAAAGCTTTTTTAAATGTTTTCCGGATGACAGTAAGTGAGGACAAACAGCTAGCTGCAGCTTATTCTCTGCCCATACAACCATAAATCTTTGAATCCTGAATCTTGAATTTCACGCTGTGATTCATGCAGTGTAGCAAACCCATATCTTTTCACTTTTACTTGTTTACAAGGAGCAGTGCAGCCATGCGAGCAGAGTACTGTCACACTACAATACATTTAACACTGACTGGATCATGTCCTCCTCTCTCTCATTACTCAGACCCACACTCTGTTCTCTCTGCTGGGTCTCAGTCACGCCTATGTCACCAGTATTGGAAAGCTGGTGGGTGTCGTGGCACTGAAAGAGGTAAAGTCACATATTTTTCTTTATCTGCATGTTGTTGTCACCTCTCTTGGTTTGGATCCTGTAATGCGGCATGACAGCGATATGTGATGATCTCACATTGTGGGCAGTTGTTCTGTCACAGGGTGCATCATGTTTTACGCTTTGATTCATGCGGTTATTCAATTAACCGCCCTCATCTCCCTGGATGTTCTCTTGAGTAATACAACATTGTCACTTCAACACGAGTCTGTGCCTTATGTGTTCTCTCTTCTAACAGTTACAGAAAGCTATAGAGGGCTCAACTCGCAGCGGGGTGAGGCTTCGTCCCCCTCTGGCAAGCTTCAGAGACGCCAGCAGGAAAACCAAGAAGCACCAGCCTCCCTCATCCACTCCTTCCTCCCCCACTCGGGACAGAGACTTGTGGGGGGAGGGGAGCAGGAGGGAGGGGGAGCAAGTGAGAAAGGAGTCCAAGGAGGATTCCCAAGGGAAGGCGTTGTCTTCCAGAGGAGCTCCCGTGTGTGACACTGCTTCCTCCACCCCCAGCAGCGCGGGGTGCACCAACGTCAGCCCTGCCACCACAAGAGGAACTGACAGTCCTTCCCAGGAGCCGGCGTCCCCCTCTACCTCCGCCCCTACCTCACCCTCACCTCCTGCCTCCCTTGTTTCACTCACCAGCCCTGTCCTCACACTATCCTCCCTGCAGGAGGAGAGGGAGAGTGAGGAATCGGACGAGCCCATATAGACCGGGTTTAAGAGGAAAGACTTCTTTTGATTTCACTCCTCTTCCCCAGAGACAGAGCTGCTGTCTGGGTGCAGGAGTTGGGCTCACCTGCAGCCCCTACAGACAATCGGCTCTCAGCGAGCAAGACAAGCTGCTGCACACAAAGCTCCTGAAACTTGTAGTACAGATTTTTTTTCTACTCTTACAACAATCTCACTTTTTCACTCAAAATCTCAGGTCCCTTCCTGTCTCTTTTGAACTGCGGACGGACAAACATGTTCAGTCCTACAAATCACTGATGTTCAATGTCCATCCATAGCTTGGAAATGTATACTGTAGCCGTACGTCATATATATATATGTGTCTGTTAATTACATTAAGTACCTTTGATCAAAAATGAACTGACAGCAATGAGGTAATATAATACTGGTATATATATATATATATAAAATAATTTGACCTAGAGGTCACAGAGATCATGAATTTAAAGTTTACTGATTGACGTTCATTTAAAATGATATCTTACCTTTATCATATTATTGCTGTATGGTAAATATTCAAATCATTATAACCAGTCTGTAATTTTTAAAGTTAATAAATATTAAAATTGCCTACTAGCTTATTTTAATTATTCACAAAAATGATGACTACAAGAAAAACTTACTACAGTCACACTAGCGGCTCTGTCAGGTTGTATTTAGGCACAGCGCCGGTGATTTGAGCTAAATGCTAAAGCCAGCATGCTAACATAATGATGTTTAGCACTAAACACAAAGTACAGCTAAGGCTGATGGGAATGTCATTAGTTTTTCAAGTAGCTGAGATCAGACCGACTTTAGCTGTGGTGAAAAAATGCAGCCTCCTCATTCATTTGAATGGAGCCAGTCCAGCAACACAGTCGGGGCTCCAGCAAAAAAGGTCCCTTTTAAAAAAAGTTGAAACTGGCTCAACTGCCTGACCGCAACGCAATGTCATCCAGTAAGGCATTGCAGTTCCCAATCAAATACATGCAAACCCACATTCCTGGTTACACTGAAACACTGCATTTCTACTGTTTAGCTCGAGATCGTTGCAACAAAAGATAATAGTTGCAGCTGAAAACTTTCTGGAGTTGTGAAATCCTATCTCTGAGTATTATAAACAGCGAAGTGTTTTGGCATCTGATAAGCCTTCAAATGGACATATCTGTTACTCAAACAAGCCTTCTTGGACAGTACTTCATATCTGTTTTAATACAGGCTGGAGATAATCAAAGTTATTAAAATTCATCCTGAATTCAGGCCTAAATGTCTGTACAAACGTTCATTGCAATCCATCCAGTAGCTGGTGGTGGACCAAAAGACTTCACCATTATCAATGATAGTGTTCCAGTGTTCAGGCTTGAAAAGAAAATATCTCTGAGCATACAAACATTCTTATGCTGTGAAGGTCAACAGTGTGTTTCAGTCTCTGATTCCTGTGTGAGCTTGAACAAATAAGCAGCTAGTCCCCATAGAGGAGGCATGTCTCTGAGAAACTGTCATTAATATTCTCATTCCCTGATGAAGACTGGAGAGGAATGTTTTTGGGAAAGCATGACAGGCTGGATTACACTGCTGCCAGTTCCCTGGTGATTGCTGTTCTGTCTGCTCCAATGAGCTGGCTAGAGACACCGGCTGCCAGCAAACATGGTTAAAAAGAGACATATCACACGTGTTGAGGCTCTAGAGAGAAAGGGGTGAACGTGTGAGAATCAATTATTTACACCCCAGAAAAGATATCCACACATATGCAGAAGAAATGCCATTTGTTGGTTTGTTTATTTGCTCTTTCTCCACCAGAGGAAAAGAAGAGGAGACAGGTAAAGAAGCTGGAGGAAGGCGTAGGAGGTTCTGTCGTGCAGGAAAAAGAGGGGAGAGGAAGAGAAATAGGAAGAAATGGAGAATTGTTGACAGAAGAGGAGAGAGAGGGGGGAACCACGTGGAAGAACCGTCCTGTGACATCCGGCCAACAAGCATGCATAGGTGTGAGTGCCATGGGTGTACACTGGTATCACCAGTCACACTGCCTCATTTCAAACAAATATATCCAATTTTATACAGACTTTTACAGAAGCCATCCAATTTTTCACAGCGTTTTTTTACAGCGGTTACTTTTTTTTTGCCACACATTTCCAAATTATATGTATGTTACATGTCTGATTGCCTCAAATCCCCTTTGGTTGACATAGAAATATTTTCTTTTAGGCAGTGATTCCTCCAACAAGACAGCAGACAACTTACTGTACACCGAGAGACAGACATACAGACAGACACAAATATACCGAACAGACACAAAAAGAGATAGAAAGAGAGAGAGAAGGGGAAAGGCAGAGGACCAGAAGCAGATTTTGAGCATCATGCCTGCAGAAAAGTTACTGTAACTCTTAGAAGATGGCAGTAGAATTATACAAAAAGAGGAACTCAACTGCGAAACAGTCAGTTAACAAAGATGTGATCAGTAAACCTCAACATCCACAGAAATATATTTGGCTTCTTGTTATTAGTTTATTCTTTCGGTGACATTTTGATAAACAAAAAAAAAGAAAGAAAAATAACCCAATTTGAAGCAGTGTCTATTCACCAAGTCCATGCATGTTTCCTTATGAACTAATATATCATTTTAGCCAAGCCCAAATTAGCCTTGCAGTTGTTCAACAATCAACAAATATAAAGCAACGGTCTTTCCACCACATTATGTCTTTAAAACTGAGTGAATCACAAAGAAAAGATACTGCTCCCAGAAGGGTTGGTACCTACATGAAATTATAGACTCTGTACAAGCTGTCACATTATTCCTCCCCACCAAGTAATTGTTCAATAAATAAATTAATATGTACCACTGTGTAAAGACACCCTGTTAGGCAGTTTTGAGCCCTCTAGTTTGTGTGACTCACTAAACAAGAATCTCTGAAAAAAAAGAGCTGCCAAACTATCCGTCTCTAATCTCTTGACAACTGTGTGTTTTTCTTGGAGTTCAAAGAGCTCAAAACTATCCCGAAACAAGACTGCTTTACAACTGTGACACCTATTCTAACTTATACTGGAAGGGATTTCAACAAGTCAGTAGAAAAATAAACATCATTCCCAACATTGCATAAAGAAGCAATCATTAAATAAATTCATTCAAGTCAATAAACCGTTTCACTTTTTTTTTTTTTTATCTCAAAAGTTTCTTACACAATCATCAAAGTGAGAGAAGAAGGTGCTCCCCCAACAGAGAAAAGATGAAAACAGTGGTTGTGTTTTGTTGTAAAGTTCGTCAGTGAGTCATGTACAGAAAGTCCATGTTCTGCACTGTCTCTGTTTAGCTCCTCGCTGGAAAACTCCCCTTCTTCCTCGTGTGAAGGAAAAAAATAAAACATATCATGCTTCCTCAAACGTCACTATAGTCACTATCACACTCCAGGCAGCTGCTTCACAGTAATCACAATGAGCAGGACGACACCGTTAAACACGGCTCTAGTGTTCAGTCCTCGTCTTCTGTTCTATTCCCTGATTGGCTGAATGAGCGACACGTGGGCTCTAATGTCCCCCGTGAACTCAGACGTACTACTGTTTGTTTCCCCACTGATGGATTCGCCGGATGAAACACTCTCCAGTTTGAGCGATCGCCAAACATTCCTCCCATTGAAAAAAAAAAAAAAAGATTCATGCCAACAACTGTGAGCTTGAGAGCAATCCCAAAATAAAGTGGGACTGACAGGTGTAAAAAAATAAAGAAATCATACTGTAGTAAAACAGTTGTGACTGTGAGTGAGAGGCGATTTTCTTTATATTCTCAGACTATTTACATCTATATGACAGAGCTGGCACTGGTCTGTTGGAGAGCCAGTGTTTTGCCTGTCTATTGCTGGTTACAATTTAGATATTTGTGTATCTCTGTGTGTGTGTGTGTGTGTGTGTGTGTGTGTGTGTGTGTGTGTGTGTGTGTGTGTGTGTGTGTGTGTGTAGCGGTGGTCCAGGTGAGCAAGAAGTGAATCCATTTTCAACAGCTTCATCCCACACTTTTAAAAGACTCGCTTGTTTATCTTTGTTTAGTAACAAAGCCTTTGATCCGCTTCCACGTGGACCGTGAGGAGACATCAAAAACAAACGCCCGTGCACTGCCTTCTGTCTTCCAGTACATTCAAATAGTGGTTATCATCCTCAATTTTACTGCAACTACGTCTATGGAAAAAAAGCAGCTGAGGGTTTGTGTTGTTAAGTGGCTCGGTTTTGGTTGTCGGTGGTGCTGAAAGCTTTCAGAGTGGGAACTGGGCAACATCAACCGTCCAAAGGCAACCTCTGATCTGTTGGATTGCATCAGTGCAAAAGAAATCCGCTTATGCAGCTCTGTCTTTATTTCTCGCAGCTCATGCTCACCGCAGGCCCGCCGTGGCCCCACCTGGGACACTATGGTTCAGTGCCAAGTCTATACAGTGCTGTGTTGCACAGGTACTCCTTAGTACTCTGAAGGAACATGCATACAGAGTGACAGAGTAGGAAGCACGCTATTGTATAGTACAATCCTTATCTGTGCAGAGTTTAGTGTGTGCGGTCAGCAGGACAGGCCTGTCCCTGGGTTGTGCCTCGGGCATCCTGGTGCCACAGCGTCAGAGAATAATTTATTTTAGAGGGATAATCTGCATTTCACTGAAAATCTGACATTTTCTGAGCCTGCTTTAATTGCATGTGAAATTGTATGGGCTGCCATTTTCAAAATATACCATGTGTGTTCGATGTGAGGGAAATTAATTTGATTAAATGCTATCTAATATGTTGAGTAACAGCTGTAAACAGAGTAGTTCTCCCATAGGAAAACTATTATATCTTATTACACACTTATACATAGATTTTGTCTTCTTATTTTGCTTTATTACAAAATTATTCTTATTATAACGTTCTATTATGATTTTAGTTATCGTTATGAGACGATGACAGGGTCGAGTTGCTTGTCTTCATAAAAAGCATGCATGTTTCCGTTCCCCTCCTATCTATCGCAGCTTGGTTTCATTAACCCTGATGGAAATGTCTCAATCAGTTGGTGCTCCTCCTCCTTCTTTTCAGTTTCTCTGTCCTCTCTCCTCTCTTTAATTACCTTTGGGATGTAAGGCTTACAAAGAAATAGGTGTCCTTTGTTGCATCAACTCTTGTCTTGTTGTGAGTCCACTTCCAAAGGTGTTTCTCACCACTTTAAATTCATCTCGCAACCAAAAAGTTGTGTTTTTGATACCTGAAAAGGAACAGATTAATAGATAGATATTGTGTTATTACGCTCATTCCCCGCTGACTCCCCGTCAGTTTGTAATAAAGAGTCAACAGCCAGGAACTCAGTTGGTTGTCATGGAGGCATCAGGCCCCTCCTGGTCCTTCTCCTCTATTGTCTGAATGAGGCCGGAGGTAACATCGGAGGCTTTCCGCTCTGTGATTGGCTCTGCCGGTGGTTGCCCCGGACTACTGCCACCAGAGGCATCCCCTTGTTGCATGGGCGGAGTCAACATGGCCGACTCTGGCTCCATGCACAGCATCACCTCTTCCTCCTGATCAAGACAGACGCAGCGAAACACACACAGAAGGTCCAGTCAACTTAGGTCACAAACAGAAGCTGTTCAGTAGGTTCACATCTATACATTACTAATTAACCACCTGAATGTAAGTACGTGTCCAAGCTTATATAAGTCTTATATTATTTACAGTACTTCCATAGGTTTATAGGTTGATTCTTTCAGGCGTGTGAAGATTAACTAGGAAAGACTTCCTTGAAATGGGTAAATCATGACAGCTGACATTTAGTTTTCTATGATGAAAACTTAGTGGCCATTATTGATTGATTTAACAAATGAACATTTGTTAAATCATATTCACAAACTGTTTCTTGTTGGTGCATGCAGGGAGCTGCTGAAAAGCACATCATGAAGAGTATATATGAATTTGGTAGTTTTGTGCATTTAATATTGCAATATAATATAAACAGACCTAAAGAAGAATTTTATTGGACCCTCCCTGCATAACAAAAGCACACTTTTTAAAAAGCCAACACCTCCTAGCATCACCGGCTTTATTTTTTTCAAACTTTGGAAATGCTCCCTCCAGGGCCACAAAAGACATTGAGTAAAATCAGTGATGTGCCTCTTTAAGGTTACCGGTCAGAATTTTCAGAGTTCTCTGCAAGACCACGACAATTAAAAGTAGTTTTCAAACCTGTGTAATCAATTTAGTTGTTTGTTTTTTTTTCAATTTACAAAGGTAAGAATCAGAAAAGCTGGAGACAGTTTGCCATTTTTGCTTGATTAATGACTATAATCATATCAAACAATCTACATAATGAATTGAATAAAACCACCTGTATGATCTTTTACAGTGCTTGCTCAACTTTTCACAGATCAAATATAGTGAAGAAGTATACTAAAATTACACTGAAGAGGTCATTTTATGTAATCCTACCCTTAGTTCACCTCACCTTGACCTCCTCCTCCTCCTGCTGCTCCAGTAGCGGGGAGTGTTCTGTTCCCACCATCTCGTCTCCGGAGGGAACGCAGAGGCTCGGCTCCACCACCGCCGCCACACCCATGTAGCCTCCAGCCTCCGTCTGATAGGCCTCCATCTGCCCCGTGTTCCACAGATCGACCAATGGTGGATGAACGGGATGGACCAGACTGTGGATGGTGCTGTTGGGTGTCGCTTGCAAAGAGTGGTTGGCACTGTGCAGCCTGTGCTCCAGCGACTAGAAACAGGGTGAGGAGGAAGAGGTGGAGTCAGAGCTGAGATGACCATGCCAGGGATTAATGCTGCTTTTCTTTGTGTACAGGAGGAAATTTTTTTGATGAACTTATGAGAGGCTTATCATTTCATTTTGGCTCCAACTTGCTATTTAAAGCAAGAATTTGTGTTTTTCCTTACGGGTGTTAAACAAGTTTTTCGTTAGTGGGCTTTGATAGTTGTGCTGAGTTTATGACTATGAAACACATTCATGTTCAGCTGCTGAAAAATGTTTCCTATAATTATCACCAAATTACATTGTCCTTTCCAGGAATCTTGTTGTTAATTTCACTGAGTAACATATTAATTGCTTTCTAGGAAATTACAGGAAACTGGTAAAATAAAGTGTTTCGTTAGCCAAATCTTCACAGAAAAAAAAAGATAATAAGCAAAACCTGGAGCTGACATATTTGTCAAACTGCTAATTCCTATTATATTATTTTCAAGGCCATGAATGTTTCTTTTCAGCTGTCTGATGTCGATCTAATTGTCGTTGTTTTTTTGTTTTTTTTAAAGTTTCATTTTTCTGAAGACGTAAAGGAGCATGTGTTGTAAAATGAAAATTTGAGGTTTCTTGTCCTGATTCTTATGGGCCAAGGTTAATGCCTTATTGGAGTGACTTAGAGCAACAGTAAACGTGTCCAAATACTATATTTGAATTCCATCTGGTATCTCACAGCCACTTGCTCTTCCTCAGTCACCTGTTGTTGCTGATACTGCAGGAGCTGCTGTTGCTGGTAGTGCTGAATCTGTTGGATCTGCTGGAGCTGTTGTAGTTGACTCTGCTGCTGGAGAGTGAACTGCTGCTGCTGCTGCTGCTGCGACAGGAAGTGTGCCGCCGCCTGCCCATCAAACCCATCAGTCCCCATAACGTAGGAGCCAGCAGGGGGAGACGCCACTACGGAGGGATCGTTGTTGATGGGCTCCCAGGCGTCGGAGGAGGAGAGGCAGTAGTGGCCCTGGGAGACGTATGTGTGAGGCCACACCTCTGCTGAGGAGTGGTGCAATATCTGATCTGGAAAAAATGTAAAAGGCAGCAGCGGCTCTTAGTGCTCTTCAGACTGGTAGAATTGTTGATAACAGGAAGATGATAGAGTTTGGGTCAAGTTTTAGTAGCAAAAAGCACAACAGATTAAATCATCGTGATAATCTGATCTTCATAATATCAAGAAATATAAACCCAGGGAAATCCCAATGTGATGCTGCTGTTTTATTGGTTTTAATTCAGAACTAAATCCCAAACACAACATTTTTTGGTCTGGTAAAACATCAGCATTTTACTTCAGCTTAAGTTTCCAAATTTCCATCCTCTAATGATCAACAATTTAGCCTGTGACAATGCTGATACAATTAACTGTGATCGGGTAAACTGGCTTCAGCTCTTATCATAGAATTAAGAAGAGTTTGAAGCACAGCAAACTTAATCAGTGTAGAATTTTGCCTTTGATCGGGCCTGCAGAACAGAATAAGTAGGTTTGGCTGGGAGCGAAATCAAAAAACTCAGCAGAAAAAACTCTTGGCTGAATAAGTGTTATGACAGAAACTCTCCGAGATGTGCTGAATACAGTTTGAACATTGGCACACCTTTCACTGTTGGTACATCACTTGTGTAAAACTGTATATGCAGACAGGCTTGATTTCATGCAGTTTATCGGTCTCTCAAGAGGACGGGTATAAATTGGGCCAGAGTGTAAACACAGCTGCACATTTTTACCCCGTGCTAAACGTTTGACAAAAAAAAAAAAGAAGAGATAATTTGATGCAAATGCATTAATGAAGCGCCATATCCTTAAGGAGGTTTATCTTACAACAACAAAGCAATCATAATAATTGCCTGCACCTTTAACTTCACAAGTTTGCTCAGAGAAAACAGTGCTGTGGAATAAAAATCTCTACACACATTATATATATATATATATATATATGTGATGCAGTGGGTTTACCTTCCAACAGTCTGTGTTGGAAAATGTGAAATTAATAACGTGCTAACCCCCCAGCCTGGTAGAGAGGAGATGGAACAGTATGTTCTCATTACTTAGCAACATGACACATGCTAACTGCAAGCTGCTTGTCTGCACCTACACAAAGACGCAGCTGTTTAAATGCTGGTCATATATTCCATCATTATTACTCTTTGCAACATATATTAAATATATACTATTAGATATTATTTCATTAAATATATACAAAATATACTGTATGCTAGTGATGGAAACTTAAGTACATTTACTCAACCATTATACTTAAGTACAGTTTTGATATACTTTTACTTTATTTGAGAATTTCGATTTTATGCTACTTTATACTTCTATTCCACCTTCAGAGGGAAACAATGCACGGTTTCCTCTGCTACATTTACTTGACAGCTATAGTTCAAGGTACAAAACACATGATCAGGTTATATTAAAGTAGCCAACAGCACATCAAGTAGAAAACATTACAGCGTTACTTTGGCCAGCTGCAAAATAATATCCAGACACAAATTAATAAATAATATTTTAGAACAGACTTGAATTTTTATTGATTACTTTTAAAGTTTTTCATGGCCTGTCTCCCTGTTATATCTCTGACCTGTCAGTCCCATACGCACCAGTACGTACCTTGAGATCCTCAAGCAGAGGTCTTTTGTCTATTCCTGAGTGTTGACTGAAAACTAAAGGAGACAGTGTGTTTGCAGTAAGGGCCCCGAAGGCCCGAGATCGTACAAACTGAATTTCGTACGAATCCATCCAGAGAATTACGAGGTATAAACTGTGTAGCGCCCCCTAGTGGAAGAATATCCCAGGACTGCTCAGCAAAGCTAGGCCGAGCCTCTGAGCAGACGCATCAAGTTTGGTGTCAGTGAACATTAAAGAGGTGGTATTATGCTCATTTTCAGGTTCAACATCTTAATTAGAGGTTGTACAAGAACAGGTTTACATGGTTTAATTTTCAACAAACACCATATTTTTCTCATACTGCACATTGCTGCAGCTCCTCTTTTCACCCTGTGTGTTGTACTCTCTGCTCTTGACCTACAGAGTGATGCATCTTACTTTTACAAAATCTTTGTTGGGAGTTGCACATGCGTAGTTTCCAGGTAAGGACTACTAGCCAATCAGAAGCAGAGAAGGGCGGGTTGTAAGAAACAAGGTAGTGTGATCCAAAACAAAGCCGCTTCAGACTGCGACCGTAACCTAGCAGATGGTGTGAGTTACTCACAAGTCCACAACATCATTGTTCCACATCTTACCATGAACCACTACAAAAATCACCATATTTCAACTCAATTTTTACATATAAATTGGCCAAACAATTTGAACGTTTGCTCAGTAGCTTTCACATCTGGTGTAACGTTTGCATTATAGCTATAACTTTAGCTGTGTTAGCCAACATTTACAACAACTCCGCACTTCAACAGTCTGTGAAGTTACACTGCCGTGTTCATTTTAAATATAAATCACAACCAATAAAGCATACTTACAGGTTGTGATTGTGAATTTCCAGGCCCAAACAGAGTCGGAGTTGCATCGTCTTTTAGGACTAACGTTTAACGTTGAACTGTTGCCGCTGTTTGACGATCTATGCTGCCTTGCCGAAAAATGCTACCGTAGCGCAAATCGATAGACTCGACTCTACTCGGCCCTGCTCCGTTTTCCATTGCAGATAGTACCCAGAGATAGTACATAGCTTGTCGTCATAGCGACGCCACACACAACTGCCACGACGTAATGTTCAATGCGACACACACACCAGCGATCCACAAGTTAAAACGTTTCAACATTACTCAGAATGTAAAGACAGATAAGCGGTATGAAAACCTTCCAGCTGTGTTTTCCTCTGCCGTTGTTGCTGCAGCAGTCTGTGTGACGGCGGGAGTAGAGGGCTCTGTGAGCGGGCAGCTGGCCGGCCTCACACGCTCCTCCCGCGGGTTGGCGCAGCCACTTCCGGAGCTCCTCAACTCAAAATATTCAAGCACATTTTTGTTCCGCCATCACTTCTCGTAAAACTGTCAATATTTGAAATCTACACAGCTGATTTCTCACTCAAAACTTCTCAGAAGTGGATTTAATGATGAAATTCCACAGGAAAACTGTAAAATATAAAACTTTCCGTTGCTAGCCTCTGTCTGCCGCACGCAATGATGATGCAGTGAATAGTGAATATTCTCTCTGACCAATCAGCAGTCTGTCCTGTTTTCACATTACATTTTAGTACCCCTCAGCTCGCTTGGAACCTCGATGGAGGTGAGGTGATACGAAAAAAAGTACCTGGAAGCAGCTTGGTTTGAGGGCATGCCTGACCCCGCTAGCCGCTTGGCAAGCTTTATGACGCGTTTTCATTGTGACATCAAAAGTAACGGAAGTGAAGGGCTGGACTACAAAATGTTTTCAAGCAGTTCAGAGCAGAGCTTTCTGTGTGAGATGGGCTGGACTTTGGGCTTTTTCACTTTGCAAAACTGTTACATGCACAAAAAAGATGTAGAACTCAATAAAGGAGAGGGGAAAAGCCAAAAAGCATAATACCACCTCTTTAAGCCAATTTTGATTTACGGGGATTTATGTAAAATTGTATGTATATACACAAAAGTAAAAATTTATGAAAAAAAAACCACATTGACTTATCAAAATTCTTTTGATAACTTTTGATCAGCAACGTCCGTAGATGGTCCTGCCAAAGTTTCATTTCGATTGCCTAAAGCGTCTGGACGAGTTCGCAAAAATAGGTTTTAGAGAAAAGAGATAAAAAGTCATATAATTTGACATTTTTAGAGAGAAGAACATTGGAGCAAAGATGCAGATGAATCCAGAGATTAAAATAATGAAAGAAGTTCGACTCTAAACGAAGCCATTTTCAAGATAATTTTGCCTGAGTAGTGGGTGGAATTTGCAACCTATGTGCCAATTTTGGTGAGTTTTCGTGCTGCCCAAACACTTGTAGCGGAGAAAAAGAAGAAAGAAAGAAAGAAAGAAAGAAAGAAGAAGAAGAATCAGAACAAAACCAATTGGGCCCCAGCAGCTTCGCTGCTTGGATCTCTAATAACACTGGGGGTCATCCTGCTGCACAGTGAGTACTTTGAACTTTAAGTACACTTTGCTGATGGTACTGCTGTTCTTTTACCTAAGTATAATTTCAAATGCAGAACGTCTAATTGAGTATATTCTCAATTACTAAAGCAAAAGACCTAATATTTCTTCCACAACTGATGACAAATTTTCTCATAGCATACTGTTACTTAATTTTACCAATACCAATTAGCTTATGCCTTCATGGTTTGAGACTACAGAAACTTTGCCCTCATGTAAAGACTGTTCTGCAACACAAGCTATTTCAGTCATATCCTTTGAAGGCCTTTACCTCGACTGGTGATGCTCTCCTGGTTGATCTCACTTAGATGAGCCACGCTGCCCTGGTTCGACCCCGACCGCGGGCTCTCTCCATCCATTGATGACCAGGCCAGGAGTGTTGCCTCTGAGATTGCGAACTGCTGCAGGATACCTGAGGTCAGAATTCAGAGGACAAGGAAAAGGATCATAGTGAGGACTTGCATTATGCCTAACTGGCTGAAAAACTGCCATTTATCCCAGAAAGTGAGGCACATAATTCTGCTGATGACAGTTAACAGACTCTGTGGAGTGCCTGCCCTTGTCTGTGTGTTTCCAAACCTGCAGCGAATCGAGCCTCCTTCTCGCCGTCACTGAGGTCACTGTAGGCGTCGCTCTCCATCCGCCGCTCCTTTTCCCGTTCCTGGGTAGAGATGCGGGGCAGCGGGACGCCCCCAGCACCCACCGTCTGCATGCTCCAGTTTTGCCATTCGATCATGTGAGCGACACGACCCTGGGCCATGGCTGTGGGCTTGGTCACTCTCTCCTTCATAGTGCGGGTCACCCCTGGTGGTGGAAAAGACATGGGACAGAGGGAGGCGAGGTGAAAGGACAGGAGGAATGTAGAAGAAGTAGGAAATGAGAGGTTGATCCAGTTGTGATCAACGAAGTTAAGGGATACAGAATATGAGAAAAGATGGGGAAGGAAGTGAAGTGGCGGGTTTGTAGTTTGGAGAGAAAGTGGTGGGAACATAGGAGGGACAAACAGAAAGAAAAGGGAGAGACAGACAGATAGACATGTTATCATCAAGTGTGCATTGCTGTTTGGTCATGAATGCTATGATGGATATCCAGTAGGGTTCGACTGATAAACTGGTTTGGCAACTGGGAAGATATAATTTGACAGTGAATGTTGTTCTCAAAATATGACTGATATGATGCAGTTTATTTAATTACATCTTTACTGTATGATTGATAATTACCACAGACCTGTAGTGGTTCAAGTATATATAAATTTGCGTGATCACAATTTTGAAGTGTTATTAGTAATAACACCTCCTGTCACATTTAATAAATATGGTTAGATGAGATTCTGGGGGCAATCCTGAATAAGCCCCGAATAACCTCTGGGGCACATTTGGGTCAATCAAATATTTGCTTAAAATATCATCCATTGGCAGCTTCAACCGAGATGAACCAGTATAAAAAACATTGTCAGTCGAATCTTACTATTCAAATGCCTGTGGTTTAATGAGAGTCTTCATGAACATGGATTACGGGAATAGCTTAATGACAAAGGTTGGGGAGGTGAAGTTCATGGGTTTAATGAGACTAAGCCATCGCCTGTACAAGCTATATAGGGAGGAGAGGAGGGAATGAATGTGTCTTGTCTGACAAAGGTGCATTGTGGGATGGAATAGGTTAATTGGGGTGAAGTGGCTGTATGGCATGAGTAATGAGAGGTTGGTTTGTTGACATGATAGCTTTCGCACCTCTGATAAGCTGCGCTGGGTAAGCAGAAAACCGCTCTCTTTCTCCTCGCTGTCTGTCTGAGAACCTGACTCATGCAAACGTTGCAGAACATATATTTTTTAAAGAAGAAATCCATTTCCCGCTGCCAAGCTAACATCAGCTGATGTCTGCATAAGGGCTGTGCTCCATATTTCATGTGGCCAACACATGATGACACATACTGTAAGTCCCTGGTTGTTTGATTCTCTCTGATGGTGGCGCATGGAGATGAGATTTATGAATATATTATGAGAATAAATTACAGGACAAATCAGAACCACATCACACAGCTGCAGCAGCTGCACTACACTTCACTGTACTGTAATACATTTCACTGCACTCAAATAAACTGCACTGCACAAAACAGCTGGATTGAACCAAAACTAAAAGAAAGCACTTCACTGCACTTCACTTAGCTCTCAGCACTTTACACGGTTCAGAACATCCATACGAATACTTGTTCAGGACACCACAATTTCACAACCACTTAACATAAAAAAAACTACACTTCCCACTCACCTTTTCTTAGAGGAACAAGCTGTATGACGATGCATTATGTGTGTGCGTGTGTTGTGTTTTTGCCAGGCTGAATTAATTCCATCAATGACTCAGGGGGAGCCATTGACAAGTGTTACCACAGCGTGGAGAGGAAGTGATACAGGGGAACCCGTTTCGGGTACCATGCTGACTCCAGCGCCCGCTGAGGGCGGAGCCAACATGGGGTCGTTTACCAGTTACAGCACAGACACACACCTGACACACCTGACAGAGAAGACTTAGCCAGAGCCCCAATGCCGTAGGCGTTTGAGTTCCTCTTGAGCCGAGGCAGGATGGATGTGGTGTCTTCCATAGACAGCTAGAGTGAGAGAAGAGAGAGGGATGGAGGAGAGGGGAAAAGTGTGTAGAAAAGGGTAGTATGGGAAGTGTGACAGCGCACAAGAAGACATCAAGTGAGTGTGAGGTGAGTGGAGAGGAGAAGTGATGGAGATGCTGGGTTAATACAATGGATAAAATCTGCATTACCCAAATCCTGATTCCAAGTTACTGTGTACCAAAAAGTGATTCTGACTGTGCTCCCTACCGTGCACCACTACGAAAACCCCAAAAAGATCAACTGTAAAGCCAGGGTGGAGGGGGGTCGTGAGGGGGGAAAGAGCTGATGGCTAAAAGGTGCGTTAAATCAAAAAAGGTGGGGGAAAAACCAAGTTGATAGAGAAACAAAAACAGTATAGGATGAAGGAATGGTGTCACAACACTTACATTGATTCCTTCCCATGAAAATTCTGAACGTCCATGCTGAGGAAGAGAAATAGGAGGAGAGAGAGGGATGGGGAAAGAAGGAGCGGGAAAGAGTAAGAGAGTGACAGGACAGAGAACAGTGACATGCATGGGGGTGGGGGTGGGTGGAGGATGGGAGAAGACAAAGAGAGGAGGGACAGAGCAGGGATTGCACATTGGACATGCGGAGGACGAGAAAGAAATTACGAGAAGAGAGAAGAAAAAAGAGAGACAGAAACACAGGATTTTCCAGGAAATAAAGAAGGCAGAAGTTAAAACCAGAATGACAGGGAGAAGGGAGGGGATTAAATAGGGATCAGTATATTTGCTTAGTTATGTATAGCAGAGTGAATACGCTACGGATGAATGAGTCTCCACTCTGGTTACATGTGCTGCCAAAAACACTGAAAGCCAGCGGAAAATCGTGTGTGAGAAAGATGTCAGTGCTGCGTCAAACGCTATCTGATGCTGCAGACAGACAGGGGACTGAGGCTAACAGGAGGACGGGGAGTGTGTGTGTGTGTGTGTGTGTGTGTGTGTGTGTGTGTGTGTGTGTGTGTGTGTGTGTGTGTGTGTCTGTGTGTAGAGTCAGATGCTGGGGACAAAGCAGATAAGCAGCAGCCTCTGCCACACCATTTCTCTCTATCAGCTGGACTTTCAGTAACTACACTGGGGACACTGTTGGCTTTGCTTAAATGTTTTCACCTTCCTGTCGATCTGCTCAAACAATCGAGGCTGAGCGAAAAAAACAAAACAACCAAAACTGGAAAAATCCTTCAGGTATTACTTGAATGAATTTACTTTGTTGCTGGTCATCAGGCTGTTAAATGTATTCAAAAGAACATTTAATGCTGATTGACAACGGAGTGACTACCATCAGCTACATGCAGCGTGTATCCAGATAGCTCTTATTAATATATATATATATATATATACATATATATATATATATATATATATATATATATATATATATATATATATATATATATATATATATATATATATGTCCTCTTTCTGTTTTTTTCTTCACTGCTTGTTCTTCTCTTTTTCTTTGCTCCCGCTTCCTCGCTCTTTGACTCTCTGCTCATCTTTCTCTCTCTCTCCCCCTCCACAGGAGGGGGCGTGATGAGAGAACACACTTGAGATACTTTGACAACGCGTGTGTGTTTGTTTCTTTTCCTCTCCGTAGGACCAAAGGGCGCTCTGGGGCACGATGCATAAATAAATGATGGAATCGGTCCACAGTGCATTTGGAGAAAAAGTAAAAGTAGACATTCTCTCCATTTTAGTCCGAAATGGTTCCCTCTCCTGTGTCGGAATCAGTATATCAGCAGGAGAGGAGAGGTGAGGAGAGGAGGATATAGTAAAGGTGTGTAAGAAGTGAAAGAGTGAGTGATGCTTCTGCTGTTTTGCTTTGAACCAGAACTGAGCAGTGACTCTGTCAGATGGCCACCAAGCACAAGAAGGCCATTGCAACATCAATGAGCCAACCGAACCAGCGATTGTTCGGTCTTCCAGCTACGCTACCCCATCTTGCGTAGGGAAGTGTAGTGGAAGTTAAGCGACTGGCAGTGACATGATGTGTGCTTCTTTACTGATCTACTATCGTAAGCACTGGTGCCGTGAGTTACAGAGAGCTAGAGGTGCGAGCTTTCAGTAGCTCATCATGTATCTGCAGGGTTTTAAATCAGCAGCCATGTTGGTTCCTCAGGTGGAGTGACAACAGTCCACTGTCAGAGGAAGTCAACAAGAGTGTTGAGCCAGAGGGATTGCTGAAGACTTACCTGCTCCCCATCTTTCTGGACTGGCACGCCATCTGCCGCTGAGAGCAAGGTAAAGGAAGAGACAAGCAGATAGAGAGAAGAGAGGAGGAAAATAATTTTTTTATTCTTTGTATTTAACTCAGTTCTCAATCAAATCACAAAAGGAGCCTTGCTTCCACAAAACACTGCTTGAACGTCAACTTTTGACTGGTAATCCATATTCTTTTCCTGCAGTCCTCATAAATTTATAAGATCTTCCTCCAATTTTCTAAACAAGTTTGCTTCTCTGTGGCAACACTATTTAGGAATTTTTAGAGATCAGCTCCTTTTAGTCCATCCATCCATCCATCCATCCATCCATCCATCGTCAACTGCTTCTCCTGTGTACAGGGTCGTGGGGGGCTGGAGCCAATCCCAGCTGACATCGGGCGAAAGGCGGGGTACACCCTGGACAGGTTGCCAGTCCATCACAGGGCCACACATAGAAGAACAACCACTCACGCTCACACTCACACCTAAGGACAATTTTGGAGACACCAATTATCCTAACCTGCATGTCTTTGGATGGTGGGAGGAAGCCGGAGCACCCGGAGAGAACCCACGCAGACATGGAGAGAACATGCAAACTCCACACAGAAAGGCCAGGGCAACCGGGGTTTGAACCCACAACCTTCTTGCTGTGAGGCCACAGTGCTAACGACTTCCGCTTTAGTCCCTTTAACCCCAATATTAATTTCATAATTCTGACATCAGCCATTGATCTTTCTGTCTGCATTCCATTCAGGCCTAGGATGCCGTTCTTAAATTATAATTGAAATTCTGTCATTGTGTCTGTTTCAGACACACGTCCAGGAGATTCAACTGAGAGTTTCCATTAACCACCTGCAAGCTTTACTCCACCACCTCCAGCGTCTAGTCACTGTGAAATCCAGTACATGGGCCTACACTTTCTACCAACAATGGAGTCTAATCACCAAATTCTTTCTCTCCTTCCACATGTAAATGACACCAGCATTTGAGTTAATAATGCACTATGAAGAGTCAGCATCAGATCACACACAAAGCCATCCGCCCAGCATACTTGTAGATGGGAGTCATATGAAATACATGCTCTCTGTTGGATAAATGAACGTTATTATCCCTCCTCTTTCCTGGCTGTCCAAATCCTAATTAAAACATTGGTTTAATTAGAGAGACTGTACTCGTAATGGAGTTTAAACACAGCTTCAGTCTCTAGGTGACTGCTCTCTGTATCAGAGGGTCTATGCTCTGTGTGTGCAACTCTCACAAGGGCTCACTCCTGTATCAGCTTATGTGTGTGTATGTGTGTTTTTGCATGTGTATTGCTGAGCCAATCACATTTTTCACAGATGCATTTGGCAATCATGAGCGAATCCTTGGGAGCTCCAAGAAACACAGAGAGTTGTTGACTCCCTGGATGTCCAGTGATGTCTGTGACCCACTGACCCAGTGATTCAGAAACACCAGTTCCACTCTGTCTCTGTTGGGCTCTCAGATATTACCCTTTCCCCTGAACTCCAGCCAGTCGCATCAGATCACTGCAAGGGCAGGAGACGAGGGACAGACTTCATTCCAGAAACTGACCCTCTTTACTTGCACAGGGAAGGGTGTGCCAACTACAAATCAGGGCCAATTTGTTTCATTTGTCCAGTTAATACAGTATTTAAACCCGGGATTTTCTCATTTCAGTGGTCTTCTGTTAATGTGGAGACTGGACAAGTATCATTAGACATCATCATTCTATGTTTGAGGAGTTACTTCCAGGAGTGTTTCATTTGCTGTTTTGTTCAACCCAGTTTCCCTCAACCTACTTTGTATATTTCTTCCATAGTTAGTGTTTCCCTAAATACCCCTGGACATCACCACAGAAGGTACATGAAGTTACTGTATGTATAAACAGCTGTTTGGTTGTACATTAGCAGGGTAAATTTACCTTAAACAGTGGCTTGCAAAAGTATTTATACCCTTTGAACTTTTCCACATTTTTTTACATTTCAACAACAAACGTAAATATATTTTATAGGGATTTCATGTGATGGACCAACACAAAGTGGCGCATAGTTGTGAAGTGGAAGGAAAATGATGGTTTTCAAAATTTTCACATAAAAAAATCTGAAAAGTGTGGCGTGCAAAAGTATTCAGCTCCCTTTACTCCGATACCCCTAAATTAAATACAGTGCTACCAATTGCCTTCAGAAGTCACCTAATTAGAGTCCACCTGTGTGTAATCTTATCTTAGTATAAATGCAGCTGTTCTGTGATGGCCTCAGAGGCTTGTTAGTTAACATTAGTGAACAAACAGCACCATGAAGACCAAGGAACACACCAGGCAGGTCAGGGATAAGGTTTTGGAGAAGTTTAAAGCAGGTTTAGGTTATAAAAAATATCCCAAGCTTTGAACATCTAACGGAGCACTGTTCAATCCATCATCCAAAAATGGAAAGACCATGACACAGCTGCAAACCTACCAGAAGAAAGCCATTGTTGAAAAGAAGCCATAAAGAGTCCCGTTTGCGGTTTGCCAAAAGCTATGTGGGGGACACTGTAAACATGTGGAGGAAGGTACTCAGATGAGACCAATATTGAGGTTTTTGGCCTAAACACAAGACGCTATGTGTGGCGGAAAACACTGCACATCATCCTGAACACACCATCCCCACTGTGAAACATGGGGGTGGCAGCATCATGCTGTGGGGATGCTTTTCTTCAACAGGGACAGGGAAGTTGGTCAGAGTTGATGGGAAGATGGATGGAGCCAAATACAGGGCAATCTTGGAAGAAACCCTGTTAGAGTCGGCAAAAGACTTGAGACTGGGGCGGAGGTTCACCCTCCAGCAGGACAATGACACAAAACATTCAGCCAGAGCTACAATAGAATGGCTTAGATCAAAGCATATTCATGTGTTAGAATGGCCCAGTCAAAGTCCAGACCTAAATCCCATTTAGAATCTGTGGCAAGACTTGAAAATTGCTGTTCAGACGCTCTCCATCCAATCTGAATGAATTCCAGTCTGTAGATGTGCAAAGCTGGTAGAGACACACCCCATAAGACTCAGTGGTTTACATGTATTGCCCCCGGGGGGCTGAATACTTTTTTATTTGTGAATTTTTTTTAAAAACCTTTATTTTTTTCTTACCACTTCACATTTATGAAAACCCAATAAAATAAATTTACGTTTGTGGCTGTAATGTGAAATGTGGAAAGGTCAGATCAACTAATCTTCACTCCAGTAATGAAAAGAATTTGAAAATTAATTCTGTGTTGCATTATGATCCATCAAGGTCTCTGTCAGTTGATACACAGGTATTCTGTTATCAGTTTTTCAGTGTTCAAATGAAGTAAAATGGTGAGCAAAATATGACTTTTAAAGTTAAAACATAACATCACTGTTTCAGATTGAATTTAGGCTTTACTTTGAACTTGTAATTTAAATACACCATTCAAAAGCAAAATCATTTTTGTTTATACAGTTTTCATTGTGTTTAAGGCTACTACCTGCTCTGCTGTAAATCCCCTTTGTTGCTATTAAACTGTGAGAAACTCTGTGAGCGTGAATGTTCCTGAAAATAAAAGCAAAAGTACTCGGGATCAGCCGATGATCACCTCCAAACGGTAGAAATAAAGAAACTGCTTTGCATCAGCACTTACCATTTTCAGAGAGGGTGGACACATTCAGATTCAAGTGCTACTTTCACTGAAACGAACTCTGTGTGACCTCAGAAGGATTAGTCAAGCGAGTTTTGGCATTGTAGAGTGCGGTGCGAGATGGTTACTTATTGGTTGATATCAGTTAGACAGAGAGATGTCTCATTTGCTGCCTGGGTGAGAGAGAGTGTCCCAGAGTTCTTCCCCATCTGGGTTAGAAATCTGCCCTGCAAACAAATACTGTACATGGACATATATGCGCACCCACATACATTCGGCCTACAGCAACATACAGCATAATGCACAGGGACATACACGGCGCCACTCCCTATCTTCCTCTGTTTCTCTATCTCACTTTAGTTTTCTCAGTCTCTCCCCTCTGCATCCCTCAGCTTCATTTGGCCAATTAGTAGATTAGCAATCACTCTCTCCCCACATAAATCATAATATGGCTCAAGAGTTTTTTGGACTGCAGCAGTACAACATCACATTGGGAAGCCCTCCAGCCTTTACACAGCAGTGGAGCAGAAACATCTAGTACATTGTTTGTACCTTTGTAGCTATATATGTATATTATCTAGTGTCACTGAGCTTCAGCCTCATATGAGATTACATCAAAGCATGTGCTATTTGTGAAATGAGCCACAAGGGTTTGGATGTCTGTATCATACTGTGATTAGTCAAAGTTGTTTATTGTTCTCAGAATATCTCTATAGATGATGGGTCAGTAGTCATTACCCAGCATCTCAGTGGTTTCGTAAGCCATGGCACGCTCTGTATTTCTCTGTAGGTGATGCTCTCGGGCTCTCAGCAGCACAGTGAGCAAATGCGTAATTCTGCTCCTGAGAAAGAAGTCATGATCCCTCCTTGAGGAAACAGCAACAACAACAGAGCACATGACCAGCGCTCTGAGCCAGCTTTGCTTCCCCTGCCGCTGTCCCTTCTCTCATGCACACACAGCGGTGCTGCGCTGGATACCCCCCCCCCCCCCGCAGTCATATGGGAGCTAGGCTTAGCTAAGCCAAGGAGAAGGAGCGAGAAGGGAGGGAGTGAGGGAGGACAGGCGGGGAGATGGAGGAGAAAAAAGAGGCAGCAGCGCGGCCGTGCGTAACGAACTACCAAAGATCTGCAGAGGCTGCACTGTCAACTCCAGCTCTGACTGTAGTGGCTTGACGGCTCCCGCTGAAGTGGGAAGCAAGTGAGCGTCATCTGTCTTTTATCCTCCCGGTGCCCTGCAGCAATAACGCTGAAGAACCAGGGAGGTTTGGTGCTTGTTTACCATGACAGCTGCAGTAAGGCTGGTTGCCTCAATGAGGTACCGGCTTGGACAGCAGCCCTCTTGCAGCGATATGTGCAGATGCCGGGTTACTGATCTCCAGAGTTTAGCAAGAACACAGCTGGGGACCAGAGCCCAGATGGTTGGGAGTTTGGTCAAAGGAAAAATGCAGCAAAGTGTGGCAGGGACATAATCCACACACATGCAGGAGCTCTGACATACACTTAAACAGACACTCAAGCAGAGCATTGACTTGGTGAAATGGCATTCCCAATCTACATGCCCTGTCTTTGGTAGGCCTGACACGCCTCATTAATCTGTTTAGGTATGAATGTGGCTGCCATTCTGTGCAGGTCTCCATCACTGATGCAGCTTAAATAAGTTACAGCAGTCATTGGTGCGCCGACTGTGGTAACTAAAAGCATGTAGTATCTTAGCACAGGCTGCTGCAGCACAGTATATAAACCTGATCATTACCATCAACATCATAATGGCCTGCTTAATATGTAATGAATATTTAGAACTGAAATGTGAAAAGATTTTGTTTTCCAATCCTGTTCAGATGAAGGGAAGAAAACCTTCAGAGGCGGGGGTAACCAACCAGGTAAGTGCACAGACACTGTATGCAGGAAATCTTTATTTCCTTGCTCTTGATATCCAAGGAAGATTTCCCGTCTTTGAGAACATGGCCTTTTTCTTTATCAGCACTGAAGTGGTTAGTAGCTGATAACTTTGAGATCATCAACGCGGGTTGAGCACTGATACTGAGTACATCCACAAATGCACATAAATTCACACATTCACACTCACAAATACACACACACACACACACACACACACACGCAATGTTTACAGAAACACCCGCCATCATGTGCCCACACACAGGCTTCTGATCTGCCACGTAAGGGCTGAAAATGACATACAAGGGCACACATATACACACCAGGTACATTTTAATCAATTCCTGTCCCATAATGATCCAGGCTAGCATCCAGTGACATAGCAAATAATAATAGCACACAGTAGAGAATATGACACAGAGGCACTCACTCATAAATCTGTAGTTAAAGACCTTTTGCTATGCTACATTGGAGTCCTTGGATGTATAAGCATACACACACATACACTGACACACACTCATACAGGTATGGGTCATCAGGTCCCACCATGTGTCTGACGTACTACATCAGTGAGTCATTCACCTTGAATGTGTTCATGTGTACAAGGCCAATCAATCAGCCTCCACCTCAGTCTGCCAGATTTGCTAGTTGACAGGCAGACTGCAAACTGGCAAATGCACGACATGGTATCTTGCTGTATGTGTAAAGGCATGATGCAATCGGGGGTGTTTGTTTTTTTCATTTAATGGCAGGGAATTCCTCTGTAATGCAGTCGCAAAAACAGAGGGATGGGACAAGGTGGTGAGGCAACAGCAGCGCCTATACTATATTCACACCTCCACACGGGCCTACGTGCACTTAAATATAGCAACAACAACAAGGACAAAGATCATATGAGAGGCAGATGTAAAGTTGACGGGTCCATGCATGGACACATATGTACACGTTGAACATGCAGACAGACATGCAGACTCTCCAACTGGGTACTGTTTGAACATTTTCTGAATCAGCTATATGAAACTTGAGTTTATGTATCAAAACAAAAATGATCCTTTTTTCAGTATCTTAAGAAACATAAACATGATTTTCTATAAAACACTTTGTTCATTTAACAGAAGTCAAAGTTCTCAAATACTGCACGAGCCTCTTTGCAAGAACTGGACTTTTATTTAACAGTCTAAAATTGAAAAAATTTTGATTTCAGTCAGGAACTATACCAAATATTTGAGTCAGTACCAGGAAAATGTGTGTGCAGACACACGTAAACATACATAAACACAAAACACACACACACAAACATACAGAATTGGCTAGTAGTGCTTAGAGAACTTAGAGAGTGGAGAGAGAGAGAGTTTGCTTAGAGGCTGCACAAACAGGTAAGAGTTTTCATAATGTCCCACATTCATGTCTAAACTTTCACCACCGCAGTTACCTTCACGCTGCACACTATGCCCTAAATCACACAGTGATTAAGGTTTCCAGCACTCACAGGTATAGCGTGGCCTGGTAACTGGGTACAGAGGTTTCTGGTGTGTAGCTTTCAGCACAATTATGGGTAATGGCATTATCAACACTACATCTAGAAATGGGATCAACATCATGGTGCTGTAACAGAATTAATAAAGCTGTGTTTGGCAGCTATAAAAATTTGCTCTCAATGAGGCATACATAAGCTATGTACGGCACACACAAGCTGAGTCACTGACTAGTTATTATTGCAGTAGATCTCATTGCCTTTCTGCACTGATGAGGTGAAGAAGAATGTGCACCTCCCATCGACTGCTTCTTGAAGCCTTTGCTTTTTGAGGGGGAGACGGATGCAGACATCTCATCTACTGTACACCACGGCCTGTGTTTACCTGACCGAGTAACAGCGATGGTGGGGGGCAGATGTTAATAGGGTTGGGGTCAGTACCTTTGCTTGTTTAAAACATTACCCAAAATAACCACACAGTATTCTGTATCTACTGCGTGATGATTTTTTTTAAAACCCTCACTATTATTTTCCAACTGGGTCTGAATTAACAGCCATAAACTCACACCTGCAGTATGAACAACTACCCTCACAACAATGATTTTTTTGTTTATTTCTGCCTGCATGTATGTGTGTGAAACATTTGCCATAAAGCAGTTTTTTGGCTTAGAGTTTGTCTGGGGCTTTGTGTTTAATCAATTTAAACCATCATACCTCAAATAACAAGTTATATCAATGTTAAGAATGATGTAGGACAAATTGTTGTACTTACAGGGGACAATAAAGGCTTCTTCTATTAATATTGCTACTACTAGTAAGATGCCACTATAGTTTCTTCGGTGTCAGATTACAGATGACATCCAAAACCTGAGTAAAATGTACAGTTTCCTTTGTCAACCTATTCAGCACAGACATATTACACAGGGGCATGCTTTTTGCCAGGAATAGATAACATACTATGGCAGTGTGTGGGTACAAACATATCACACCTGACCATAGAGCACACTCCCAGATATGATGGAGCTGGGTGAGATAGTATTACCAGCGGGCAGACAGATACATCAGTGCTACTCCCATACAGACACAGATCCAGTCCTCCTGTTGATCTCAGCTTGGCAGCGTGGACTGCAGTTGAGAAGGCTGATCAATAGCGCACACTAAAGCCGTTCTCGCCCAGGATAAACACAACCACGCCTCTAGACGGGCAGCACTGCTGCTGATTCTGTTGCTTACAAGAGAATCACAGACTCGGGCACACAAGCTGCTTGTAAACATCCTTTTCTTAAGTGCTGTTTATTTACACATTCATGTTCGACCACAGTGCACACAGCTTAGGATAACATTTTTACTTTGGATGTGTACTTAAGCATATTCTGCTTTATCACATCTTGTCTTCACTTATCCCTGATTAGAAAATGTTAACTGCTATTACGATTGCAGCCCTATTGGATTCTTAAGCTTCTGTGATCACTTGTGTAAAAATGAACATCAGTATTCAGGTGGCTCTCAATCAGATTAATGTGGAACCTTTCCAAAGGCCTCTGTCTTCTTCAATCACATTATTTCCAGCAGCTGGAGACTCTGGGCTTGTATGGTCTCCCGTGTTGACAGAGGATGCTAACCTCCGCTCCTGCTCTGCAATCTGTCAAATACTGTGATCTGGACGGCCCAAGCTGCTGTAACACAGTTTCTGCTGTATTCAGTTCACACCTGCCTTCTTAACTGTGTCACGTAGTACTCTTTCTCCTGCACTTGCGTATTCTAGATATTTTTAAAATCCTCCTCATTTTAGAATATACATGTAGTTGGGGTGGGGTGGAGGGGTTGGACTTGCAAAAGCAAACTGGAGTTCCTGTCTGCAGCCTGGTTGTGACATGAATGACCCCTGTAAAGGTTATGCACTTTTCAGAGTGACATATGTGTGATGATTTGCCATAAACATGTTTATCAGCCTTATGTGCTAAGTGGTCTATTAATATTTAACACCAAAAGGAAGTTGTGTTTATTTTTTTCTTTGAGCGTGATAAGGCGTGCAGGACCTGAATATGCACTGCAACAAATCTGAACTATATTCATGCAAAGAACTGACTGTTAACCAAAAATGATTATTTGAACTACCCCTCCCAGTCTTTCCCCTCTTAGCAGCAGTCCCGATATTGATCTACCAAGCATGTCATCGATGGGTTTATCCAGGAGGGTCCTCACCTAAAAGCTCCCATCAATCCCACACACCCTCGCCTGCACGTATATGCCCCTCCCTCGCCACCTCTCTCCATCGCCATCCATCCGTCTCCACTCCTCCCTCCCTGCCTGCCTGCCTGCCTGCCTGCCTGCACTAAAATTCTTCCACTGCTTCTCCTTTTTTGTTATCCCTTTCTATCCTTATTATTCATGCAAATAATAACAAACTGTGCAAACGCTTCTGACAATGGCATTATCCCTTGTCTCTTTTTTCCCTATAAATAAGCACTACCAAAGTGTTTCCCTCTCCCGCCTCTCCTCTCCATCCCTCTCTGCCTCCTACTCACACACATATACATACTGCCAAACAGCATCATAAATCAAGAGATGGGGGGAGGGAGGGAGGGAAGCAGGGAGGTGGGGGATGCAACCACACACACAGTAGCACATTTTACCACATATTGTCTCTGACATCTTGCCTACATGCTGTGTATACAGCCCTCTGTGACCATACGTCCACAGCTTGCTTATACACTGCACGGAAAGGGAAGCAAACAGCTCACAGCTCACAGCTCACTCACACACACACACACACACACACACACATATACAAAACATGCCCATAGATTCCACACAAACCCTTGCTCCTAGACACCCATCCAATTCCTCAACCCCGCCCTCCCTCAAACCCCCCTCTAGCCCGCAACGAGAGAGGGAAGAGAACCGGGGCTTACTCAGTGTCCTGGAGCCGATGCATCCCATGGTGTATTCACAAAGGCCCTGGATACAAGCGAGGAAGTGTTACCCAGACACAGTGCATTCTCCCTCTTCCTCCTGCGACTCTCTTTCTCTCGGCTCTAGCTTCTTTTTCTTGCTCTCCTGTGCACTCGCTTTTTCTCTCTCCCTCCTGCGCTTGCTCGAACCCTCCCTCTCTCTCCCTCCCTCTCTCTTTCTCTCTCTCCGGTGCAGTGTCTTAGAAGAGATCCGGTTAGTAAGTCACTATGACTGAGGGAAATAAATTGGGACTAAATAAAGATGTGAGGCATTATTAGCATTTTAAAAAAAGTTACCCGCAATATTAGGTTCATAATATCCCATTCAAACTGAAGCCATTATTACATTTGCCTAAATGATTTGAGTTATTCGCATTGACACTATAATATGACTGGATCATTTGTAGACCAGGAAGATCAAAACAACTGCAGGCATTAATCTAATGAGAAAGAGTTAGTGAGCAACAGAAGCTAAAATTGAATGTGTGTGTATTGGGTTGCCACTACAAGATCAATAGCACAGGGCTAAGGGTGCCAGGCTGCCATTGTTGTAGATATTGCTGCACTGCTGTAATATTGTTGAGCTAAAATGGGGGATTCTCTCTCTGTCTCCCTGTACTGTGTGCGCTCAGCCTGACAATGCACTGCAGCGGTTTCCTCGCGCCTCTCCCCCTCCTCCTGCCTCCCTCACGCTGATTGCTCAAAAAAATATACCAATACTAAACAATCCTGAAAAAAACAGCAGAGGGTTTTCCTTCACAGTGAAGCCGCTGCTGAGTCTCCACCTCTTTTTCTGTTGTCTCTCCGTATTGATCCGCCCCTTAGTCATCTCTGCGCTTTTATCTTGCTTTCTGTTCACCCTGAATCACATCCCCGGGTCTTCCTCTATTCTCTCTTTTGGTGTTTTCCTCCTTTCCTTACCTCCATCCCCTCTTCTCTGGAGAAAAAAAGGAGGAGTGGCTCTTTTTATCTACATCTCTTGCTCTCTCACTCATTTGAATTGTATCAAACCTAACACCATCACACCTAAACCTTCCACTTTCCCTCTCAATCCTCCTGTCTCACGTCAGTTTCACAACTCTCTTCCTTGCTTTAAAAAGAAATCCTATCTCCGTCTTTCTTAATCCTTACTCCTCTTCTGTCCGGGCAGGCCCCTGCCCCTCTCTTTGCTGCTTACAAATTTATGTGAGCTGTTTCTATAAGTGTTTGCCCAGCAAATGACGCAAGTACCGCCTGGACAGTGAAAAGAGGGAATGTGTGTGGAGGCGCATGTATGGCCACTCACGTTTTGTTGACTTTATATGCATTGGGCGAAGAAGAAAGAGAAGAGAAGAGAGCACGACAGATGGAAGGACAGAGAGACAAAGACATGGGCAGATGGGGGGAGTGATGGGTAGGAAAGCAAAGAACAGTTGAGTCATGTGCGGGAGAGGTGTGGAGATGATGCTGTGTGAAATAAAGAATTAGCACTCCAGAATAGATGAAAATAGAGGAAAAAGGCAGCAACCTAATCATTTAGTTTATTCATTATACTGATGCAAAGAATAGATGTAGAGACATGGATGTGATATAACAATAAAGAGTGGATGTGTGACTTGCCAGACCCAACAAATCACACATAATCCAGCCGATCCCTGCACTGTGCTGGTTTATATATAGATGTGTGTTAGCTCTCTCTGTTGGGTTCCCGCTGAGACAGAGGAGATTGGGCTATAGGCTGCTGCTTCTGATATGTGTAATTGCAGATTGGGTATATTGTCTTCGACCCGTGTCTCCCTCTATGGCTCTCAATTCCCCTTCCATCTGCCCATCACTCTGTGCAAGGCACAGTCTGGATGTCTCTATAATGCTTTTTTCTTCTCTTCTTGGGTGGTGATGGCACAGTCGATAAGACACATGCCTTTGGCCTGGGAGACCCGGCTTCCATTCCCCCCCTGTCATCCACCTATGCATTCCTGAGCAACAAGACACTTAACCCCTAGTTGCTCCAAAGGTTGCTGACATATATTGCAACTGTAAGACGCTTTTTTAGCTAAACAAGCGATTAATTAATTCTTGCCGCAATCCTCGGTTAATCTCGATGTAACTATCCTGCTCTACGTGTCATTCCTGTCAATGCAATTCATGTTTGGTTCTCGGTTTCTTTGCACATTGTTATGTTTTGAATTAGACCCATTTTCGATTAACTTTTTAAAAAATTTTGCAAGCAACAACACCAAACATTTGACGGTTCCAGCTTCTGAAATGGGAGACTTTCGCTGCTTTTCCTTCTCTTATACCACAATACATTGAATACCTTTGGTTTGGGACTGTTAGTCAAACAATACCAGACATTTTATGACGCAAAATTTTTTCACTGTTCTCAGATGATTAATAGACAGAGCGATTAATTGAGGACATAATCTTCAGATGAAACACACTCACATCCTTCATATATATATATATACAGTACACCACTGACAATCAGGTGATCTATGAAATGGACTGTCAATGCGAGACAAGGTCAACCACAGAGGGAAGATATTCTTGACACTAATCTCACTCGTGATACATTATCCATTCACAAAGATGACTGCCACTCACCATCTTTGTCCGCTCCTTTCAAAGTCACACACATCCACACCAATGCTAACAAAGAATGTGCCATGGCATGAAACCGCCATGCAACACATGATACAGACGAGTTCTATCATGTTCCTGTCGGCATGGCTCTTGTTTTCTTATCTGGGGTGATGATGCTGCACTGAATTTAAATGCAGCAACCGATGTTCAGTATTATCTCGGGAACCCACACACACCTCATTCCTGTAATCAGTGACTTTCATGTACCTGTCACTATCTCTCTATCAACTCCTGGCTGTTCTGTAGGTTGCACCTCAAGGATAATGAATAACATCTTTAATACTGTCTTGTTCAGGCACTCAAAAGATGAATGGAAACGCCTGTTTGCAAAGTCATTCTAAGGGTAGGCAAGTCATTTTCGTTTAAAATAAACTAGCTCAGACTGGTTAAACTCCTCTAAAAAATGACATTTATCGATTTCCCGTTGTCTTTACTTCATCACTGCCCACTGCTTTCCATATGTTTTTATTCTGTGCTCTACTAAGCCTAACTGTTGCTAGTGTGTGTTATTATATATGTTAATTGGAACCACATGTTATGCATCTGCCCTCCAGGAGCCACCTCTAAGTTAGTTAGATGGAGAAATGTGTGTGTGTGTGTGTGTGTGTGTGTGTGTGTGTGTGTCTTGAGGAGGAAGGGAGGGATCTCACAGCCTGCCTGCATTGGGTTTTCACTAAGGGAGAAGAAAATGGGAGAAAAATATGAAGGGAGGAAAGAAAGCTAGAGTGGATGGGGGGAGGGTGGGGGGTTCCCTGTGGTTTGTTTTAGAGGAGGTGGGTGGGGACGAGGGAGAGAAATAAATGTAGCTATGAAAAGAGGCAGCCTATCATAAGGTGTTCTCTAACCATGCTTATGGTGATTTGTTTTAGCTAGTGGGAGATCCCGCTTATGTGTATTATTACTGGATGCTTTGGGCTGACAGTTCACCATTTCTAGCTTGAATTCCTCAGCACACACATTTGTCGGGTGTTTTATCTTTGTGTGTGGGTGGTATGGAGTTTCTGCGCGCAAGACATCTACCTGTGTGTGTGTGTTTGTGCACTCACACAAAACCTTGTGTATGAGGAGTTCCCAGCTCTCCTCCATTATTTACCATTCTCTTTCCTTTCTCTCCTGCAATTACCCCACATTCTCTCTCGCCCCAGCCCATCTCGTCTAGACCACCACCACCACCGCTACTGCACTGTTTATCCCCAGTGATGCCACTGTGTGTTACTCCTCGTGGGTTCATTCTTCTCAACAAGCCTATCAGTCTATTTTAGAGTCATGTCAGTTTGTAAGGGTTTCTACTTTATACGTCCTTTATCACTGTAGCTCATGTGAATTTGCTTGCTGTCAGGGATTCTGGGGGAATAGTCTTCCCTTAAGGTATTTTAGTCTGGCAGCGCACGCCACAGTAACATGTATCAATCTGACACCTGCCGGGGAAACTGGGGCACTGCAGTCTAACATTGGCTTTGAATGGAAGCCAGTTTGGCAGCAGAGAGATTTTTCCTGTGGGTGCTGAGTGAAAAGACCATGTTCTGTCACAAGTATGTAGCTTCTCATCCTGTCTAAAGTGCGCCTGGAATTTCTGCTTGATGGCTAAATGTTTTTTTGCTTTACCTTGGATCTCCATTGCAGGCTTTTCCACTTTATGTTTATAATATACAGGAGAAGAATTGTGCACTATACATCACAACTTCCTTCATTGACTTTATCTCGCATCCCAAAAGCTACAAAAATCCTAAATGATCAGTGATGGGTTTTAGATGTGGAACTGTGGAAGGCTCTTCACACTTTTGGCATATCTGTAACACACTGACAAAAATCATAGCAATGAACACAAAGCTTTGTCTATTAGGGAAATTTTCAAATATTGGTTATATCTGAAAGAATATAAATCAAAAGTCCCTCTCTCTAGAGCTAAATGGTTTTCTAAAAGGAACAGTTGTTCCTATTGAAAAGATCACACAGTCAGCAAATATAAACAGCATTATTTAGATAACATACCTATATTGTTGGTGGAATTGTGAAACATTGTAAAAATAAATGTAATGGGGGGCTGGCATAGTGGACTTTTATTTGTTTGTTAAGGTGTATTTTGTTAAAATGTGAAAGCTTGTAAAATAGAATATTCACAAAAAAAGGGATTTGTGCATGCAACATGTTATATCCACTGGAAATGTGGGACCCAATACAAATTTAGAATTTACAACTGGTCAGATCACAAAAAATTACTAGAGAGAGAGACTATGCCTCTGCGTAGATCTGAAATGATCCAAGATCAGGGTATTAACTCTGAGCACTGAGGTATTATGAGCAAGTACTGACATGAGCAGCGGGACGTAAAGAGGTGGAGTGGAAAGAAAGATGGGAAGAGAAATAAAAGGCAGATTAAGAAATGGAGGGATAGGGAGAAAGGGGGTAAAAAAATGCAGCATGAAAAAGAGAGAAAGGGGGAGAGGGAGAGAGAGAAATATGGCGCTTTACAGAGGGTTAGAGAGGAATTGTTCATTCCAAGTTTGGCTGCATTCCAA